TTTTTTTTCTTGTTTTACAAGATAATAACTTCATTAACTTAATTAAAAAATAAAAATAAAGCATTCATGTATTTCCTAATTTATTTTTTCTTCTTAATCATGCACTTTATGACCCTAATTTTAATTTTTTATTCACATGTAATTCTACCTCTTAAAACTATTATGCGACTTTATATTTAGAACCTTAAATTTTTAATTTTTTTCTAAAATGATATTCTGATTCTCTTAACTAAGTTTTTAAAAAATATAATTCTAGAAATCTTAAAACTACATAATAGAATTAGTTTTAATATTTTACTATTTTTAGATGTTTGGTTAAGGAGTTTTAAATTTTGATTGTGAATACTTTTAATAAACCGTAGTGACATTCATGTTAAAGTTTATTCACTTTTAATAACGTTTAGAAGATGATATTAAATTATTAGTATATTAAGAAAAAAAACTAGTTTTAATCTTTAAAGTATTTGAAACTTTGAGTAATTTTTTATTATTTTTAGTGCCTTTGGTCACGTAACTAAAAAAAATTTTTAAATCTTTTTAATCTTCACAATTATAAAGGAGTATAAAAACTTATTTATAATTTATGTCTCTCATTATTTTTTTATTATTTAACTTGAATGTTAATGTATTTTATAATTATGTTTTCTACTTAATGTTCAAATTTTTTACATTATTTCATATATTTAATAATATTAAAAACTAATTAAAATGACTGAAATACATTGATCCGATTTAAGTTAAATTGATTTGATTATTATATAATAGTGAATTAAATTGGCTTAAAAATTAAACTAATTGATTAAATTTGATTAGATTAAAAAATATCAAAATCCAATCCAAACCACATCAAACACCCCAAAGATTAATAATTACTGATATATATAATTCAAAACATCTAATATGTTTTATTAAAGTCAACAACTAATAATTATTTTTAATAAATCAAAATAAACACCTCTATAATGTGAATATATATATATATATATATATATATTTTTAGGTTATAATGTGAATAATTCACACAAATTATATAAACGCTTGACCTTTCCTTTGCCAAGCAAACATTTACGTAGTTAATCCCCCTTAAATTACACATTACTAAATCATTACTTCAGGGTCCAAAGGCACAATACATAAACTGCTTTCTGGTGTCGCCGGAGGCGGTTACGGCGAGCTATCTGGGGCAGTCCCAACAATCTTCTGACATGTCTCGATCAAGCATCGCCGGCATTTCGGACACGACGAGTGTGATTTTAGCCACTTATCAATGCAACCAACATGGAACCCGTGGTTGCATTTGGGTAGCATCCTTAAGCTCTCACCGGCCTCAAACTCCGAAAGGCATATAACACATTCCGAGTCCAGCCCCGGTAGTTCCTCATTCATCTCCGCCGAGTAATTCACCACCGGAAAAGTTTTTAAAGCTTTTTCCTTGATTCCCCTCTTCGCCGGTTGAGCAGTAGGGTTACCTCCGGACTCAGAAACCAACGAGTTAGCACCCCTCAACGCACACCTGAGCATGAAGTTTATCCCGAGTGAGGAAATTAAGCCACACAAGGTAACCGCGAGGATCAATAAGACATTGTTGTCCAAGATGTTCTCCGTGGAAGGAGGAGGCGCGGCTGTCGGAGGTGGGCTAAGAGTGAGGGGCAGATGGTTGTAAAGTAGCAATTTTCTGGAGTGGAAGGTTCCATGAAAATCTATTGTATACATGCTTGAACTTTGGTGGTTAACAAGTATAGAAGTCGGAATATGGAATGCAGGGAAGTACAGGGATTATAAAACAGAGCAAGCTGAACAGATCAATGCCGCTCTGTCAAATTTATTTAGGATAATAATATGCTGACCGTATTTTTTATAATTTTTTTATATAACTTTACAATGATATAAAGTAATAAATCATTAAAAGTTAAAAATAATATTATAATTTTTTTTAAAAAAATAATAATATTATTATAATATTACATAATATTATAAATTTATAATATAATATACTATATATAATTAATTCTTTTATTTAGATTTCATTTATAATATTATACATATTTAATATATCATTTCATTTATAAGGTTTATTTAGGTTCATAGCCGTTTTCTTGGGGAGGGGAATATGAACCTTATAAGTGTGGCTAGAACCATTTAGCCCGTAAGGTCAAATTCTAATACATCAGATCATAACTATAAATTTATTTATAATTTTAATTTTATATAATATTATAATTATAATATTCACTATAAAAGAATATAAAAGCATTACGAAGAGAAGTTGTATCTCAAATACTTTTTTAAGATTTGTGGACTCACCAAAGTCAACAAGGGAGTGGATGGATAAATATAATGTTCATCATAAGCTCCGTTGAAGTTTGATGCTTGTGACAGTTCAGTCATTTTATTTCCCCTGCATTGCTATATAGTCCCTGTAGAATAAGACATCCATTTTTTTATAAAAATTTTCAATTAGGTACAAATTCAATTAAGTACGATTTTTTTTAACAAATTTGTCTGAGTTAATTTCTCTGTTATAATAAAGCTCACAGCATTAAAATTTAAAATTTTGCAAGAAATTACTTTCAGTATATTTAGGTATTTTTTTGTATTATAAGAATGATAATTTTTAAAAATAATTTCTTGTTAACTAATTTTATCTTATCAAAAAAAATTTAATTACTTATTATTTATACACTATAAAAACGAATAAACTTAACAGCAACTAATATTTTGCGTAAAAAAAACGAAAAACGTTAAGCCAATGAAAAGTCCATCATTCTGCCCGTAATGGAACCAACTGCTGCTGCTTGTTCCCTCTTCCTGGTCTGTGCCGATGGTCAGTTTTCCTTTTCCCCCGTCCGTTCTTTATCGATTTATTTCCGTGCTGTACGTGTTTTATGATCTATGTTTGAAAATCATATACGAAGGGGTTGGTTCTGCGTTCTGAGGGACTCGAAATTTGGCTTTCCGTTCTGTTTTATACCTCACCCTTGACGTAAGGGAAATGATCCGCCTGGCCGCGGTTCTTGTGGCGGAATAGCTGATGAACCGTGAGTCTGTGATGGTTCTTGGTTCTAGTTGTCAACGTAATTTCGTTCTGTTTTAATGTGATGTGTTTTTGATAGATGACATTTTTCGGTACATAAAAAAAGCCTGTTTTTGATAGATAATAGATGGTTTTTATGTATGCTAGCAATTCAAAGTCTGTTGCTTGCTTGATTTAGTTGCTTTCAGTTTGCTCACCTTTTGTTTGGTTTCAGTGAGTGGGGGTTAGTTTGATTTCCTTATTCTTTATTTATTTGCAGTTTTAAGGTTGTGGTTTTTATCCCAGTTAAAGTGTGTTCTGTTTTTTTTTTTTTTTTATACTAACCTCCTGTTGTCCAATAATCACATTAATCCCTACTAATCTAGAAGCAAGTCGGGTCAGACTTCATTTGAGAAAGCTCTTTCTGGTGCTTTTCTTTCCATTCACAAGATTCAAACTCAAGACTCGAACTCAAGACTTCATTTAAAAGGCACTAGGACCAACATGTCCGTTGGTAGGGTAATTCTGTTTTTTTATTATTCTTCACAGTATGGCTCCATCTCATGGAAATACTCGCTCAGAAGCAGCAAAGATGGAGCAAATCATTACTGAATTCTGTGCTAAAAGCCTTCGCATGGTACTTGAATCTAGGTCTCCTTATGTGTCATCATGTGATTACAGTGGTGAACAAACTGTGTCATCTCCATCTTTCATCCTCGTCCTCTTTGTCTAGTGTGAGACCTAGAGATAATAGGTTCAATTTAGCATTGAGGGGAGCCCTGCTGCACTAGAAAATTTTGATCTCTGGCGCCAGAGCAATCTTGAACCCATCATGGTTGATGTGATATTAGAGCAGGGGTCAATTGATTGGGAGACTTTGTCTCCTAAAAGGAATCTTCGTAGGAATTTACCATCAAAAGAGAGATATCCACATTGCTGAAATTCTGATCAAGGTAAATTAGGTTCTCGGGCAAAGAGTGAAAAAATCATAGAGGTGGGTATTGCAGTATGAAAGAAAAAAGGTTAGGGATTGTAGTTCAGGGTGCAGGAGGTCCAGTAATAACGCCTTGCATACGTTATATAAGAAATCAATATTGCTGTTGAGGTCATTGTATGTGAATGTTAGGCTTTTACCTGCATACAAGATTTTTCATGTAGTGAATTCATATGGTCAAACTCATGCTTTTAAGCCTGTTCCTAGGGTGTCCCTTTTTGTTGAGCCCTTCACCTGAAAGAAGAGGCAGAAATGCAGTGTTTTGGCTTTACCCCAGTGGATACTTCTAGTTTAGGCTTTGCCTTTCAGTGTTTTCCTCGGATATAAACTTTGAGTCATCCACCCCTATGTCTCCACAATTTATAGCAGGTTATGTTGGAAGCCCATTGGCAGACCCATTGAAGAGATTCCCCTTTCTTGCTGTGTCACATGGCTCTCTATCATCTCTGCCATTCTTCGGAAGACATAGTTGGGGTTATTACAACTATAAGGTTTCATAGCCTTCAATTTCTTTCTCACCTTCACCAACACATGCAGAGTCATGTGCTTTGGGTTCTAATCCAAGTTCCCAACGTTTCCTGCCCTTTAGCTTGCCTCCCCATCCTTCTGAGACATCACTAGCTCAGAAGAAGAATAGGAACTTTGATGAGCACTGGCCTTCCCCTACTTTTTCTCCATCTCCATCTCCATCACCATCACCATCACCATCACCACCAATCTCTATAAATTTGGGGGAATCATCTTTTGAATGCTCTTTTACAATCTGAAAGTGCTTCGGTAAACATACCTAATCCGAAGCTCGCTAGTTCCCCTGCATTGTCCAGCAGGCAAAATTTGCCTCCATCACCACACCCTTAAGGTTACAAAGCCCAATGCTTCTGAGGTAATACCATTGGTCTTGTTCAAACTAGTGTGACAATTGATAAGGTATTGTATCTTCTCAGCACCATTAACTTGCAGTTTCTGGTGTATTCTTTATGAAGGGTTTCCTTTTGCCTACCGTAGCTACTCTTTTTTGGGAGTGAAGATGGTAGAAAAACACATGGGGTGAGGATACCTTCTGACAACTCACCACGAATCTCATTTTCGCAAAGCTTTAGTAGGTTTTTTCACGATGATTTTGATGATTCTGAGTTTCATTGCCCATTTGATGTGGCGGATAATGATACAACAAACAAGGGTGGCAGGTATTATACAGATTTCATCTAGTTAATTCTGCTCCTAATTACTTTTGTCAAATCATATACTGATGCTGCAAATGTCTTTCTGCAAGTTCTGTTTCTTGCTTTCTACTAGTTAGGGGGATTTTTTCATTGCTTATGTTCCAATGTTAATGCCATTTCATATAGAGCAGTCTGAAGAATTATAGTAGTCTTTCTTTTTGCCCCAAAGCGAAGACATTGCAGCTTTATAGGATGTATTTAAAAAGAGGGAAAATCGTGTGATGGAAAATTTTTCTCAGTAATGTGTCCTAGCATGTGGTATTCTGTTAAAGGTATAAAATAGCTGGGAAACAGGTCATTTGTTTCTTTAACATATGTTCCTTGGACATTTGTATTGCCCAAGTGAAGTATTTGATTCCAATCAGACCAACACCTTTACTTTTCTTCTGAACTGTCTTGACTCTAATTGTTGTTAGTTTTACGTCTTCTAAGGCAAAGGAATGAGTTAGAAAACACCGTAAGTCAAAACCAAAAGCTCAAATTACCAAAAGCAAATGAAGTCTTGGAGAGAATTGGCCTAGCATGTAGGGTCAAAACCAAAAGCTCAAATTACCAGAAGTGGTCTCAATTCAAATCGAGGACATCAACTTCTGTTTACTTGTTGGATAATTATTTTTTCCCAATATTTTGAGCTTTTAGAAATAGGTCCAACTATGTCAAAACTGTCACATGCTTTTGCACAACTAACTTTAAAGAAAAATTGGAAGTATTGGTTACATGTAGCTAGTTTTTCTCTCTTTAATTCTCCCCCTCTCATAGGGTGCACACCAGCATACAATCCTGAGTATGCCGTTCCCGTAATACAATAATGGCTTAAGAGATGAAAGGAACTTGAATTAAAAACTAACCGTCATGTTATTACATGGAACCGTATTGTATTACATCAAGGAATTCTTTGAAAAAATAAAGATAACATGACAAGCTTGTTTCTTCGATACGTTAGATAATAGACAGACTAAACAAAAAATGATAATGATTCCTTTCTCAAACTCCTCATCAATATCCTTATATTCAAACTTAGATATCTAACTTGGAAATTCCAGCTCTTAGGGAGATAGGATAACAAGCTTGTTATCAATTAGTGGGCGCACTTTGCAAAATCACCACCTGGACCTCCAAAAGCAAACATGTAGCCGTTTTTGTCATCAAAATAACGATTATTACCAGCATGGTAGCAGCGAGAATTTTTTATCTCAACAGTTAAGCCGCTTGGATCCATGAATTGACTGCCACTCTTCTCTACTGTGACTTGGTCCACGTAACAGGTTTTATCGAAAGAACCATTGCCAAATTCCTGCCCGCTTCCCATGGGAGGAGAATAAGGTTTGTTGCTGAAGACCATTCCTCCCATGAATGCTAAATCAGCACCATCCTTTAGGTTGTTAAGCAACTCTGCTGGCCAGTACCCAAGTGGTGTATCGAAAATGTAAAGCCACCATGCCTTAGCCTCAGTATCCTGCCATTATTACAAGCATCAAAGGGTAATTAAACTCAAAAGGGAATAAGGGTTTGCTCTACATTAACAACATAAATTGTCACCTTACCAGGACCAAGGACATTGGCACAACATATTGCATCTCATTAATTTTAGACACATTGCTGAAAATGGCACCTAAGGAGTATTTATAACTTGTTTGAAGAAATACGTGACAATCATTGTTGTAGCAGGCTGATTCCTTTCTGTTATTTGTTTGCTGTCCTAACAAAACAACCCAAATTAGTAAATTTTATTAACACACAAGCATTCATAAATGTTACATTGTCAGTTAGTTACGAAAAATGAAAAAGAAGATGGAAGGACATACACTCCAGGATGAGAAGAATCTCGTTTGAGTATCGTGGAAGTAATCTTTGTTTACCTAAAATGTTTCACAAGCAGAACTAATCAACAAGAAAGCATGTGGATATTGGAAGGAAGGATTGATTAAACGACGAAGGAATTATATACTCACCATCCATCCTACATGGATAGAGGCATTGTTATCGGTGGATCCAGATTGAAGCAAAATCATAGATGCACTAAACTGTTGATCTTCAACATAAGGTTGGTATAATTCCAGTCTTGCTTTAGCTCCTGTAATTTTCTCTCCGGTATTTGGTTTCATGATAATTCCAGCATACTGTGAGAATGAGGTGAGGAAAATATAAAGGTTTGCTTTTAGAAACATAAATCCTTGAAGAATAGTAGTGTTAACATAACTCCCAATTCATGATATATATACTTACATCATATCCAGTTGCTTGGTATTTGCTTTCAAAACCCCATAAATTAGCTTCAGCTTTTAGCATTCTTTTGTTTTTTCTCAGAATAGGGACTGATCCTTCCGGACATCCAATTTCTTCAAGTTTTGCCTGATTAATTTTTGAAGAAGAAGGCATAGTCTTGAACGAAGATTCTAAGCCCTCCAGCAAAACTGAGCTAGGGTTCATCTGTTGAACATGTATGGGTTGTTTAGCAATTGAAATAATAAAAAATAAATAAATAAATCGATGCAGAGAAGCATGAAATAGATGGGCAATTTTAGTGGAAAAAAGATTATAAGGAAAAAAACTATGTTATCATTAAGAACCTGAATTCTGTGATTCTTGAGCAAAGGATGGGAAAGGGCAGGCTGCTTGTATACATCAATACAATCATAGATGTCCCCAAATCTCGTCTACAAAAGTAAAAAATATTTTTAAATTATGAAACTTTTGACATTATTATTTAGATCTTCAAAATTATTTTTAAAGATGTCTTAAGGTTAATAGCTTACACAATCTCTCTTTATCAAAAATAAAAAATAAAAAATAAATAAAATAAAACTCTCCATGTTGGAAGTCTCAAGCATAAGGAATAAATATGAGAATTAAATGTACTAAAAAAAATCAATCCAACAAATTAAATTAGTAACTAAAACATACTCAATCACCTTAATAGTTTTCAAGGAATGTCGATTCCTTGTTAGAACTTGTCTTGCAACTACATGCATGCATATAACTTGATAAACAATAGCAAATATCATGGTGATAAAAAGCAATTTGTACTCCATTATTCCCCCAAAGTTATTCGTAACGAAGGAACAAGTTGGGAAGGTTTTCTCACAAAGAAGGGGAGAATGGGAGAGAAATATCAGATTTCCACTGTTTATTTATTATTTACATTGTCTTGGGCCAAAAAATATATATTATTTACCTTGTATATAGAGTGAATTAATGCTATTAATTAAAAGCAATAATGAGAGCAAATATAAGTTTAGATTCTCGCCTTATTTTCTTTCCGTGCATGATTCCCATGATTTGCACTAATAGTCATTGATTTGCTGCCATAATTGACTTGTGTCTTGGACATGAAAATAAAATACTAGTCGGACTTGGGGAAAAAAAAGATTATGGACAATGTTTTCAATTACTACTAGTATTTTCTTTCTTGCCAATAAATTTCTTTAAAATTTAAAAACTAAATTTCTAATCAGCGCAAAGAAAATTTTAATAAATACTCGATAAATTTAAAAAATACAATTCAATTCTAGGGGTTAATAAAATAAAAAGTAAATCTATTGTTTATAAATATTGTAATTATATAATGGAAAAATATTTTTTGTACAATTTTTTCATCTCATCTTTTTGTATAATTTGATGTATCATTAAAATAATTAATTTTTTTAATTTATATGAAATCCATAATATTAAAGACATTCATATATTTAATAATATATAAAAATTATATAAAAAAATAAAACAAAAAAATTATCTCGATAATAGCACCCTATATAATAAGAGTATGGGTTCCATAATTATAGAATCGCAATAAATAAGCCGAACAAAATATGCGGCCGTTTATGCCTTACTTATATTATGGTGTGGGTCCCACATCGCAGAATAGTAACTAAGCCATATAAATATGATAACTAATAGCAATTCAATAAATTTCCAATGGAATTTTTTTAAAAATATATATTAAAAAATGAGATTATTGTGTACCAGTTTGCACTCCTAAAAATAATTAGAGTTATAATTTATATCTAAAAAATAAAATCTCATCCTATTAATTGTTAATATTTAGATATAAAAACTCATTGTATATTTTAATATAATTAATTTTTAAATCCAAATATCAATATTTAATAAAATTATTTTTAAGATTTTAAATTAAATTTTAAT